GGCTTTAAGTCCAAGTTCAAAGTGCCAGGCTCTAGGGGCTGGGTGAAAGCCCCTCAATCTTGGGGTCCAGCTCTACCTCCTGCTCCCAGCCCACTGGAGCTAGAGGTATTTCTTCACTCAGACAGCTGTTGGCTGCTTAGGCTGAGAAGTCCCAAGGTTGACAAGTAAAAAGGCACAGCCCTGATGTTACCAAACCACACAGCAGGCCATTAACTTAAGTCCATTTTAAGTCCCAAGGTCAGCAGAGCATGGCAGGCTGCTGAGCAACAACACGGCTATATGCAGGGTCCAAGCATACCATAGCTAGAGACAATTACCAAGGCTTCTCCTTAAATACAGGAAGCAGACCACATTCCCAAAGGCAGGTACCCAGCTGCTTGTGGTAGATCCCACCATGGAGTTGATTGCCAGTCTCCAGATGGGGATTAACTACGACCAGCTGCCCAGCCACTCAACCAGGCCCAGCCAAGTTGACACACAAACATAACTACCACAATGAAACCTGTGACCAGAAGAACTAGATGGATGCTCAGCTACCACTGACAACCACTCAGAAAGGGATCAAAATTGGAGATCTGGATAGAGTGGGAGAAAAAATGTGGAACAAAACTTAAAATCATAAAAAAAAAAAGACCAACCTTAACATAACCACAAGGAGAAAGTGGGAAAAGAGCTGTTGCATTGTGGGAACGGCAATCATGATCAGGAAACAAAATATATATGAACTGTTCAATGGAAAAAAAAATTATGCTCTGCAAACTGGCACTCAAATGACACATAAATAAATAAATAAATAAATAATAAATCTCCATTAAAAAAAAGAAAAATTAATGAGAACAAGAAATCCATTAAATTTGGAAACAAGGAGTTTATGTATTAGTGATTAGTATTAGGGTGACTGGTAAAGAAGCCAAATTGCAGCTCATTCTTGGCTGGGTGGTGAGGACCTTGATGTAATAATGAATGTGACCACCTATTCAAAAAGTCTAATTGAAAAAGAAAAAGACAAAAAACCAAGACTCCATAGGCTGCTGCAACTTCAGAAGGCAACAAACCAGGAGACCAAAGGGGCACGTTACCAGCAAGGCAAAGGTGAGAACCCACCAGCTGGGGACTGCTGAGGAAGCATGGCCTGGAAGAGGAGAGGCGGGAAGACACCTTCCCCTGCAAGTCAGAAGAATGACCAATGGATGGAACGGAGAGGGACCTAAGTGAGGAAGCTCATGTCTGATTTATTCATGAAGGGCTCACTCACCTGCTGAGAGGGAGAGAATGGTGATGCATCTAGGAACATGAAGGGGAAAAAAAAGGCAGAAATTTTCTAAAAGCCCCCGAGATATATCTGCTGGGAATTCGATGAGAGATGAATGAAAATTGCCAAGTAAGGAGTACCACAACCACACTCTAGAAATAGCCGTATTAAGAAATGATTGTTTCCTAAGGATCTGGAGAAAAGAGGCTACTTACATGCTTCAGATGCAAGTGTGCCTGGCTGGCAATGTCATATATGACATCTCTCACATTTTTATCTTGACTCTTCCGTAGAAAATCCTCTTGTGAAACACCATGCTATGTGTAAAAATGTACATTGTATTAGGAATCTAAAAATACCCTTAAAACTAACACAGCTCAAAAAAACAGGTGACAGAGCAGAAAGTACACTACAATGCCAACTTTCTGAAAGTTTTAAAAAATAAGTGTACTCAACAAGACAGAAAATAACAAATGCTGGCAAGGATGCAGAGAGATTGGGACTCTCACACACTGCTGGTGGGACTGTAAAATGGTACAAACAGTGTGGAAAGCAGTATGTTGTTGTTGTTATGTGCCGTCAAGTCGGACCCGACTCATAGCAACCCCTCCTTGGGTTTCCAAGGCAGTATAACTACAGAAGTAGATTGCCCCATCTTCCTTCCGAGGAACGGCTGGTGGGTTTGAACCGCCAGCCTTCTGGTTAGCAGTCAAGTGCCTTAGCCACTATGCTGCCAGAGCTCCTGGAAAGCAGTATAGTGATTCTTCAAAAAGTTGGAATTAGAAATACCATTTGACCCAGCCATTCCATTACTAGGTATGTATCCTAAAGAAGTGAGAGCCATGGCAAGAACAGACATATGCATACCCATGTTCTTCACAGCACTATTTACAATTGCCAAAAGATGAAAACAACCTAGGTGTCCATCAACTGAGGAATGGATAACCACACTATGGTACATACACACAATGGAATACTATGCAACCCTAAAGAATAACACAGAATCTGCAAAACACTGCATAACATGAATGAACTTGGAGGACATTATGCTGAATAAAATAAGTCAATCACAGAAGGACAGATATTGTATTAGTTTGTTATTGTAAAAGTCAAGGAAAGGTTTATATATGGAAGGAAATTTTCTTTGTTGTTTACCAGGGTTGGGAGGAGAGGGAACACTGTTAGGTAAGTAGAAACAAGTATTGATTTGGGTGAAGACAAAGGCAATGTACCAAATGTGAGTGATCAACATGGTGGCAGTGAGGAAGAGGAAGGCATAGAGAGATGCATGGGAGGTACAGATAACAAAGATGAACCCTTTTGCACATACAGTACTGCGCTGTCAGTGAAGGCAAACATGGCTATATGAATGGATAGATGGGTGGACAGGCTGAACTGTTAGGTATGTCTATGCAGGGGGGAGTGTGCCCAAGACCATGTACAGGGTTGGTAGACAATGTTTCTACAAGTGTATTGCTATGTTTTATAAGAATTCCCAGGTGTATAGTAGAGCTGACAAGGGACAAGGTTATAGTCACTTCTTGGCCACAGTCAGCTACCCAAAGGGAGCAAGTAGTTGAACCTGTGGGCTCGGTACCATAGTGGCAGGGGACATCAAGCTCAATTGGCATAACACACTACACAAAACATTGTTCTACCTCCTACTTTAGCGAGTAGCAACTGGGATCTTAAAAGCTTACAAGCAGCCATCTAGATGCAATGGTGGGTCTCTCCTCATCTAGAGCAAGGAGGAATGCAGAAAACCAAAGATTCATGGGAACAATTAGTCCTAGTGACTAGGACACCATGCAATTCTCAGCCTATACGATTATAAGACCAGAAGAACTAGATGGTGCCCAGCTACCACTGTCAACCACTTGGAGGGGGATCTGTGTAGGAGATCCTGGATAGAGTGGGAGAACAATGTGGAACAAAACTCAAAATCATTTGGGAAAAAAAAAAGATGGACCAGGTTTGCTGGTCTTATAGAGCTAGGTGAAACCACTGTGACTATGGGCCCTAGCTGCCCTTCAGGTCTGGAATTGAACCCACACCTGTGGTTTCCAGCCAAACAAAAGACAGGCATATATGAGTTGAACATTTACCCGAGGTAGATACACTCCTTGGAGAGAACAATCATGGGAGAAAGAAGGGCTGTTTATGCACAGGGAGACAGCTCGGGGGGCAGGAATGCATGGAGAGATGGACACAGGGAAGAGGTAACTATGGGGAGGAAGTGGGAGAGGAGCTGTTGCATTGTGGTA